TTGCTGGGTTGTATGGCAGATCCACTTTTAGCCTTTTGAGAAACTTCCATACTGTTTCCCATAGGGCTGGGTCAGCCTACATTCCCATCAACAGTGTAGAAGTACGTCTTTTTCTTCACATCCTTGCCAGTGCTTGCTTCGGATCTTTTGTGTTGTTTTTTTTTTTTAATTTGGTGTGACATATTGTAATTTATGGCATAACAAAGTAATATTAATGGGATAGTTTTAAATCAGCTCTTGAGAGAGAGTTAAAAAAAATCATCAAAACTGCTAACATTTATCAGGTTTCCTCTATGTCAGGCATAATACCAAGTGCTTTACATTTATCAGCTCATTTAAAGCTGGCAATAGCTTGATACTGAATTAGACAATTATCCCCATTTCACAGATGAGGAATCAGAAAAGAGAAGTGAAATAATTTGAGCAAGTTTAGATAGCTAGCTAGCTATCAGATCTTTTTGATGTGAGCCATTCTCAAAGGTGTAAGGTGTATCTCATTGTAGCTTTGATTTGCATTTCACTAATAAGTGATGATGAATATTTTTTCATGTGCCTGTTGGCCAACTACATGTCTTCTTGGAGAAGTGTCTATTTAAGTCCTCTGCCCATTTCTTTTATTGGGTTATTTGTTTTCTTTTTGTTACGTTGTGTGAGTTCTTCGTAGATCTTTGATATCAGTACCTTGTCAGATGTACAGTTTGTAAATATTTTCTCCCATTCAGTAGGGTGCTTTTTCATTTTAGTTGTGGTTTTTGTTTTGTTCTGTTTTTTCTGTACAGAGCATTCTAGTTTGATGTAGTCCCAACTGTTTATAGTGTCTTTTGTTTTCCTTGCGGCTAGAGGGGAATCCACAAAGACTGGAACTTACATCATGAAGTGTTTTACCTACATTTTCTTCTATGTATTTTATGGTTTTAGATCTTACATCCAAGTCTTTCCTACACAAAGAGGTATGTTTTTCAAGGAGGCTTTGGTCTCTCTAATGGGGAAAAAAAAAAACAACAAACACTGGTTTGGGCGTGAGCAGGAAACATTCAAATGTTAGCAAAGTTCTTTGTGAGTAGATGCAATTTTTAACAGGACTTAAGCTACAAAAGGCTGGGAAATAGGAAAGGAGGGGCCAAAGTAGGTAAAAATCTATTCCTAGTTGAAAAAGAATTCTTCCTTTTTCAAAAGTGAGTTATTCCTTCCCCCAGTTGGACCAAACCCCAGGTAGCGGGCACGGCAAGAGAGGCGCCCCATCTCCGGAGGACACAGGCCAGGGCTAAGCCATGTTCCTGAAAGGTGGGTGAATGTTGGGTCAGAGAGTCTGGGTCTCTGGATGCAGAATACCAGCTTCTAGTCCAGTCTAGGTTACTTACTTGGGTCAATGTCGGTCTCTTTCAGACATTGAGAGAGACAATGTCTCTGTGTTCATCTGTGCTTTGTGACTAATGGGGTCAATCACAGAAGCCAAACTAGGAACCAGATTACTCAGGTAGAAGTAAGCAATGAGTACAGTATGTTGACTCTAAGGGTAAAATGCTCACAGGCGACAAAGGTCACCCAGAAAACATTTCAGCTAGAACTACTATTCTCTGATTATTCTTTTTTTTTTTTTTTTTTTTTTTAATTTTTTTTTTTTTTTTTTTTTTTTTTTTAATAGAGGCATGCTTTATTTATTTGTTTGCTGGTTTGTTTGTTTGTTTTGTTTATACATGCACTGGGTACAGTCAGAAGCGCGGGAGGGTGAGAGAATTCACCAGAGTCAGAGCGGGGAGCAGAGCAGGCAGAAGGACCGAAGTACACTGCTGAGGGGAGCAGCGGGCGGCAGGAGAGGTCTGCGCGCCATGTGGGACCCTCCTCTGGTGGCCGGGGAGCAGCCGGGGATCGAACCGGCGCCGCAGAGGCCGCGGGCAGCTTCGCAACCCAGCGCTCAACCGCTGCGCCACCGGGGAGGCCCCTATTCTCTGATTATTCTGATAGACAGTTAAAATTTTTTTAAATGTAATTCACATTTTTTAAAACTCACCCTTTTAAACCGTACAATTCAATGTTTAGTTTATTCACATTACTACTACTAATTCTAAAACATTCTCCTCACCCACAAAAGAAACTCCAACCTGGTGGACCTCCCTGGTGGCACAGGGGCTAAAATCTCAGTGTGGCAGCCACTGCTGCGTGAGTTCAATCCCCAGCCAGGGAGCTAACCCACATGGGCAGCAGACCTCTCCTGTCTCACCTGCTCCCCTCTCCCCAGCCCTCCCTTCACCCCCCACCTCTGGCCTATACCCCAGTTCTTGTATGCATAAATAAAAAAATCTTTAAAATAAAGAAGAAAGAAACTCCAACCTGTTAGCAGTGACTCCCAATCCCCCGCCAACTCTACTTACGTCAGTACCACACGATCTTGATTACCGTAGATTTGTGGTAAGTTTTGACATGGGGAAATTTGATTCCTTCAGCTTCTTCTTTTTCAAGATTGCTATGCCTTCTCTGTGTCCCTTAATTTCCATATGAGTTTTAGGATTAGTTTATCAGTTTCTGCAAAAAGCCCTGTTGGGATTTTGATAGGTATTGAGTTGAATCTGTAGATCAGTTTAGGGAATGTTATCATTTAGTAGTAAGCCTTTCAATCTACAGTTATGTCTCTTTTTTAAAATTTTTTTATTTTTATTTTTGCAAAGAAGAACTGCAGTTCAGGCCAGAGGTGTGGGGAGCGAGAGGATTCACTAGAGACAGAATGGGGAACAGATAGGCAGATCTACTGAAAGACACTGCTGAAAGGAGAAGCAGGTGAGACAGGAGAGGTCTGCTGCGCCAGGTGGGTCAGCTCCCTGGCTGGGATGGGCTTCCTCTCTGTCTTTCCCTATTCCTATTCCTATTCCCAGCCAAACACAGCGTTGCCTCCTATGGCCAAGAATTCTCCCTTCTTCCAGACTGCAGAAAAGCTCCTTGGGCATGAGGAAGTAAATAGCTAACCTTGAGATAAACAACAGATTGTTCCTTGAGGCCTGGGGTATTTTCCAGAGAGGGGAAGTGTCAGCAGAAGCCCCACTGAGGCAGACAATGACAGGAAAGGAAATCACCCAGTTGCCATTGCAGTTTTCTTCAAGACCAGGTCCCAGTAGGCCTCTCCTTGCGAGGATGGGCTGTGCAAGTGGTTCCCTGAGCAGAAGATACTCTTTCTCAAATGCTTTTCAAAATATGTGCATAAGGATGTGCATGTGTGAGCAAAACAGAAACAGAGGTATGAGAAGGATTCAGATCTTAGAGGCTTTGAATACTAGAGCTTGACTTTTTTTTTCCCCTAAATGACATGATTGAATTTCAGAAAGATTTCCTTGCAGCTATGTGGATTGTATTGAAAGGCCCAAGAATGGAAAGAGTTAGGCTGCTGCAGTGGTCCAGACCATAATTGTTAAAATCCGATGTGGGATAATGGACAGAGAATGGAGAGGCCAGTATTGGCCTTGGACATGCGGAGAGAAGGGACCAGAAAGCTCAGTGAGGTATACCAGCAGAAGATTTGCTTTGGAGTCAGTCCTGCAGGCTTAGAGATGCTTTATCCAAATCTGGGGGAACAAGGGCAAAGCAAGTCCCAGAAATCCCACATCTGGGCTTTGAGAGATGACTTGATCAGGGTATAGCCTGATACAGTGCCAGAAAGGAAACTGAGGCAGATTCTCATGACACACAAAGACACAGAATGGGGGTATTAGCTTTCAGTCCCAGATTTCCTGCAGTGGGCACTCAATCCCCATTACCTCTGAAGAAGAGTGTTCCCTATTCCTGCATATCAGCCCCTACTACCAGCTCAAGGGCACAAGAGAGATGGATGGGGAATTCTGGCCATGACAAAGCTTCAGGAAGCTCTACAGAAGAGGGGCAGACCCCCATCCAGATGTGCAGAGAGAGTTAACTTGGAATGTACCAGAGATGCTGGCAGAGATGGGGATTTGGACAAGGCTGGAAGGCACAGAGCTACTGGCAGCCTAGGGAATAGGGTTAGAGGTAGCTCTCAGCCCAATTTCTCCCCTCCCCCTCCCTTCAAGACCTAGTTCTTTCTCATCGTTCCTGACCTTCTAGTTCCCACCTCCAACTTCCCGAACCTCTATTTTGGTGTCAGTGAAGAAAAGGAGAGGCACGTCTTGGCCAGGTGGATGGCAGCTTTGGAAACACATTTCACTGGCGCCCCATCTCTGGAGGGCTAAGCCATGTTACTGAAAGGTCGTGAATGTCAGGTCAGAGAGTCTGGGTCTCTGGATGCAGAATACCAGCTTCGAATCCAATCTAGGTTACTTACTTGGATCAATGTCGGTCTCTTTCAGACACTGAGAGAGACAATGTCTCTGTGTTCATCTGTGCTTTGTGATTAATGGGGTCAATCACAGAAGCCAAACTAGGAACCAGATTGCAAGCCAAGGTCCAGTTCCTGGGATTTGGCCAGACTAGGGCAGTCTTCCCTTTGGCTTTGCTTGGTGTGTACCCTCCCCCTTCCAGGCTGTAAGATGCTGCTGCTGCTCTTGGTGCCCTTCTATAGGGTCCGCCTCCTTCTCCAAGTGAGAATGCTTAGGCCTCACAGATTACTGTACCCTTCCCATGCCATCTCCAACAACACACACTTCTTGTTCCTGGTCTGTTCGGCGGAACTGTCTGCAGCTCTGAAAATATTCTATAATCTGTGCTGCCCAATATGTTAGCCTCTAGTCACACATGGCTTTGGAACACTTGAAAAATGATGAGTGTGCCTGAAGAAGTGTATTTAAAATTTTAACTTTAATTTAAAAATTAAATTTAAGAAGCCACATGGGGCTAGTGGATACCAATCTGGACCACTAGGTTGTAGGCAGAGCTGTTCAAGTTCCTTGTTTATAATGAGTTGAAAAGGAATTACTGCTTATTGAGAATTTACTCATTGCCAATTTTTACATAAATGCTTTATAGACACATCTCAATGAAGTCTAGAAATTCCATTTTAAAGATGAAGATCCAAGGATCCAGAGGTTAGGTACCCTGGATACAGGTGGCACAGAGTGGGAGGGCCATTCATGGGGGAGCCAGGCTCTCCAGTCATTTGGGGAAGTGGCCAGAGGCCAGCCTGAGTGTCTTTCTTCTGCAGTCACTTCTATAGCACATGGCTGGCTACCAGGGGCCTGAGGAAGTTCATTAATGAGTACTGCTGGGGAGATGCGCTTGACAAAAAGGAGAGGAAAGCTAGTTCCATTTATTCCCTATCATCCAGGGTGCCAGAAACCCTGGCTCCCGACATCACACCTTCAGCTCTCTCTCCTCTCGCCTGTCTCCTGAATCCCTGTGTCCTTTGCATCACACACTCAGAGCTCAACTGGGTGCTGTGTGCAGAGGTTTCGGAAGAGGGTGTCATAAGCAGGCCCAGAGGAAGCCAGATGAGTTGGGAGCTGAGGTCTGAAAAAAAAACACTTAATGTTTTAAGCAAGAAAAAAGAGAAATGGTATTATAATAGCTACCTTTTATTGAGCACCTACTTGTGCCAGGCACTTTACATACTTCTGTGCTTATAATTCCCACAACCTGGGAGCTAGGCACGATTATAACCACTTTACATATAAGGAAATTGTGGCTCAAGCAACTTGCTCAAGGTCACACAACGTGTAGATGAGTGGTAGAATCAGCGCTCAAGATGGCAACTGTGAGTGCCCCAAAACTTTCATCAGGCATTCTTCAAATTGATCAAATATAGGGGGTGCAGAAGCAGGCAAAGGGGTGCATTCAGTAGAGGCTCCAGGGACCTGGTTCTGCTGTCCCAGCTGTTGAGGGAGGCTGACCCCTGCCCTGCTTTCCACCTCCCTGCTCTGGCAAGTCACTTTCTCCAGACTCAGCTGCAAAGTCAGGGAAAATCAAGCTGGCTGAGGTTGCTCTTCTTAGGAAAGGAAAAAAACTGAAATAGAAGACCTTACCCTGTGTGTGTATTCACAGGTGTTGATGTATGCATGTGGTTCGTGTGCTGAAGCCCGCCACCGGCGGAGTCAGAAAACCATTCCCTTTTAGGCCACACCCTATCATTTGTGTAGGGAGTGAGGCAGCTGAGGAATCTTGAAAGTGTTGTTTATTTTCTACCAGAGTCACCTGGGAGGGTGCCAGTTCAATCATCAAAACCTCAAAAAACAAAACCTCTAGTTTTATCTGACCTCAGGGGTGTTTGTGTTTATTCCATAGATCCACATTGTACCCCACACATATACACACACACACACACACACACACACATACAGGTTCTTGAGTTAAGGCACCGAGTCTAGCCAGCATGACCTTCTAAGTCATTGCCCATGAGGCCCGGGGCGTCCATGTGTGTACCCAGAGGGTCAGTGCAGTGCTAGGAGTCTCTTCACAAATGCGGGCCGTGGAGCATGTCTCCGAGCTGAGCCTGTCCTCATTTTCTCTGGGAGGAGACCTCTTGTGTCCTTGTCAGTTGGACAAATACCTCCATTCCTTCTTGCCAACTGGGGTGGGACCAGGTCAGCAGCAGTTCAAGCCAGTCCAGGGCTTAGCTTCCAAGAGAAAAAAAAAATGTGTCCTCTCTAAGTGTGGCAGGGGGCTATTTGGGGCCAAAAATGGCCACTCAAGCCAGAACGGAGGGTAAGGTTTCTCTGTGTGCTTCTCAAACCCAACCATGCATAGCAGGAAAACAGCTGACCTTTCACCACTGAGCTCTGTCACCCCATTCCCGGGGAGAGCTTTCAGGGATCTGAATGAGCGTGGATAGAACAGTGGGCTGTTAGGACGGTGCCCTGCAGTGGGAGGTTGCCTCAACACCCCCTCCCCTGCTTAGAGCACATTTAGGCCAGCACCCACACTGTGGGGAGGCAGAGGCTCGGGTGGGGCGCACGGTGTGGTTGTGATGGAGATTAAGTTACAGGCCTGCATGAAGACCGGGTGCAGGGCGGTGGGCTTCCTGGACCCTGGGCTGGGTCAGGACACCCACATGAAGTAGGCCACCTCGTCCAGATCCACAGGGTAATCTGTGAGCAGCACCGGCGTCTTGTCAAAAAGCTCGCCCTTGTAACTGCGCCACTTGCCCGCGGGCAGGTAGACGTCGCGCTCCTGCTTGCCGGCCTCCAGCACCGGCGCCACCAGCAGCGTGTCCCCGATGAGGAACTGGGAGTCGATGCGGTGCGCCGCCTCGTCGCCGGGCGCTATCCACCAGAGCGGGCGCACGATGGGGTCGCCCGTGTCGGTCACCTCGCCCGCCAGCTCCAGCAGCAGCGGCGCCACGAGCGAGGCCCTCAGCGCGGCGAATTTGCGCGCAATGGCCACCACCTCGGCGTCATAGTGCCAGGGTGGCACCGAGAACTGCAGCGCGGGCATGAAGGCGGCCACCTCCAGCCAGCGCACGTACAGCTCGCGCTCGGGCACGCCCGCGCCGCCCGCTGTGCGCTCGGGCACCGCGTTGCCACCCACCATGTCGGGCAGGATGAAGGGGTAGCCCAGCATGCTGACGGTGAGCACGGCCGGGATGAGCGAGCGCAGGCCCAGGTCGTGGCCCCACACCGAGTCGCGGTCCACCAGGCGGAAGAAGCAGGAGATGTTCTGCGACTGGTAGCCCACGCGCACCTCGGCCTGCGCAAAGAAGGGCAGCGCCATCTCCGTGTAGCGCCGGCTCCACACGCTGGGGTCGCTCAGCGGCCGGTAGGTGCTGAAGTCCCGCGGCAGGTAGCTGACCTCGCCGGCGTCGAACTTGAAGGAGGCCACGTGGTAGCGCGCGCGCAGCCCCCGCAGGTGCGCCTGGAACCAGTCGCGCGCCTCGGGGCGCGTGAAGTCCAGCACCGCGCCGATGCCGTTCCACCAGCGCACCAGCGCGGGCAGCCGGCCCGTGGGCTCGCGCACGAACAGCTCGCGCTCCACGCCCTCGCCGAAGCGCGACGAGTTGTAGTTGACGAAGGGGTGCACCCAGAGCGTGACCCCGAAGCCGGCCTCGCGCAGGCGGTGGAACATGTCGCTGGCGTTGGGGAACTTGGCCTCGTCGAAGTCGAAGTCCCCGTAGGCCGGGGTGTACATGTCGTCGATTTCCAGGTGGCTGCTGTTGAAGCGGTGCTCGCGGATCTGCTGCGCAAAACGCAGCACCTTGTCCTGGTCCACGGCGCGCCCGTACAGGACCCACGTGGACCAGATCGGGTCCCGGAAGGTCTCCGGGGCTGGCACCCGCGAGGGCTTATTGAAGTAACGCCGCACCATGTACTTGTGGATGGAGGTCACGTCTGAGCCGACGCACACGCGGTAGCTGAGCTCCGGCGCGGCGGGGTGGCCGTCGGGGGGCTTGTAGGGCGTGTCGTGGTAGCGCGCCTGCAGCCGCAGCGAGCGCTCCGTGCTGTTCCAGCCCAGGTGGAAGGGCACGGAGTCGTTGACCTTGATGGCAGCCGCGCGGGAGGACAGCCAGTAGCGCTCCAGGATGCCCCCGAAGGCACTGTCGGAGGAGTAGACGTCGCTGGTGACAAAGGGCTGCGGCTCCTGCTGGCCGTCCAGGCGGATGGGCCAGTGCTGCGTCCGCATCTCGGCGCCGCCGTACCAGTGGGCCGTGGCGTCGCCCAGGAACATGGCTTGCTCCACCGCGCGCCCAGGCTCGGCCTCCTCCCAGCGCACGCGGTAGCACATGACCGTGTCCTTGGGCCGCACCGTCTGGATGAAGAAGTGCAGGGGGCGTCCATCTGCCGTGCGCGAGCAGCCGATCAGGGCGCCGTCACCGCTGCAGGAGTCCAGGTCCAGCGCGCCCGAGCGGAAAGCCAGGCGGAAGACCTGCTCGCCCTTCTGATTGCGGATGGAGAAGCCACCGCTGCTGAGGTCCAGCAGCTCGGCGCGCAGACGCTCCGCCTTGCGCAGGGACGCGCTGTAGTAGCACCAGGCCACGACGGCCGCCAGCACCAGCAGCAGCCCCACGACCACCGAGAGCAGCAGCGGCTTCAGCTCCTTGGATGGTTTGGACTTGACAGGCGAGAAGGTGTCCGGCAGGAAGGTGTACATCGCTGCTGCTGAGACAGCCTCCGGGCTCTCAGTGCCTGTGTGGCTCCCGGGGCGGCGGCGGCGGGGGTAGACCTGGGACTTCTCCTGAGGATGTTGGGGCATCAGCTCCCAGTTAAGGAAGGAGCAGGCAGTGGGGTTACCAGACAAAACCCATCTGAAACCTTGCCTGCCTGAGTCTGGAATGGGAAGAGAGGTGGAACTGAGCTTTCTCATTCCTTGTTATTATTATTATTATTATTATTATTATTATTATTATTTTAAGATGTATTTATTTATGCATACAAGAACTGGGGTGGAAGCCAGAGGTGCAGGGGTGAGAGGATTCACCAGAGACAGAGTGGGGAGCAGAACAGGCAGAATGACTGAAATACACTGCTGAGGGGAGAAGCAGGAGAGTCAGGAGAGGTCTGCTGCGCCCTGTTGGCTGCTCCCTGGCTGCTGGGGATCAATTCACGCTGCAGTGGCTGGTGGCAACTTGATAGCACTGTCTTTAACCCCTGTGCCACCAGGGAGGGCCCACATTCCATATTATTTCTATTTGTTGCAGCAAGAAAGTTGTTTAGGAAGGTGTATCCTGGGACATAAGGACTGGACTCTAAAAGGAATAACCTTGTGTCTTACTCACCCTTCCTAATGCTTGCCCAAAAAGTCAGGACTCTGCATGGGGATGGGCATATGGCAGGCACCAGGTACCCACATTTTCCTAGTGGTGGTTCAAATCCAGCCAGGGTCAGGGAGCTGTTGAGGATTACCCGAGTAAATCAGGCCTCCCTGGATCACACATGTGGGCAGTTGAGGTTGAAGTGAAGTGGAGGGTTTTGGAGTGGGTCTAGTTTCCCAGAGATGTGGCCATGGTGGGAACAGGGGGGTTGCTTAGCTCCTCAGGACTTCTCAGTTCCTCAAGACTTCTAACAGGGAAGTAGGCTCACTTCCTTGTCCCCAGAGGTGGGCAGGAGAGAATTTAATCTTGAGTCAGAAACAGATTAAATCTGCAGATTAAATGCCCAAAGCCAGACTCAGTCCTAGGGCCTAATTCGGAGGAAGGCAGGGTCGGGTTTGGATATTAGGGCTGGGGTGAGGAGCCACGGTGGCTTCTCAGATCTCCCCCCGCGCCCACCACCCCCCACCCTTGTCCTCAGACTCTACCTTGCTCTCAGCCATTGATCACCAAGTCCATTTCCCTGCCCACTTTGCTGCTCTGCTCCCAGCACCCAATCTGTGGGCCAAATACCTCCTGGCTTGGTCTCTACCACTCATCCATGCCCTGCTGCCCCTGCCCTAGTTTGGACATTGACTCTTGTATCATTGTAACACTTCCCCAGTAGGTATCCCTGCCCAACTTTTCCTCCTATGCCTCTGCTCACAGTAACCACAGTGATCATCCTATAGCACTTATCAGACCACATTGCTTCTTAGCTGAGAGAACAGCTCATGACCTCTATGTTGAACTCCAGAAGTATAAGCTTTACAGTTGAGACTCAAGGCATGATGTGGTCTCATCTGGTTTTCTGATCCTTTCCAGCCAAACCTATCCTATGACTACCGTGCTCATTCCTTCCTTCAGGCTACCAGTTATAGGAAATTTCACACACTTACCTTGGACCAACATTCCTCCCCTACCTACAAGGGATCAAACACCCCCCCTCCCTTGACCCCCCCTGCAGACATGCAATCTCACACATCCAGATATAACTGTCCGGAACACAGACATGGGGGGAGGTGTATGTCCCAATCTGCTTAAGGCCACTGACCCTTCTGTCCCTCCCTCAGGACAGAGTCCAACAAAGAAACAGCACCAGTCAGATGCACACACAGACAGACACACTGCCTGCCAGTCAGCTGCCCTCCTGCTTCATCTGGGGGAAGGAGAGAGGGAGACTGGGGAACAGTAATTAGCCTCCTCCCAGATGCCAGTGTCTGCCTGTAAGTCCCCAGTAGCTTCCAAGGATGTCAGAACTGCTCAAGGTCTTTAATTTCCCCACCTCTTCCACGAAGAGACTATCAGGTGCAGATCAGAATTTTAATTCCAGACATCAATATACAGCTCCCTCAGGGAGGTGCTATTTCTGGGCCCCATTCACAGTGCTCTCTCCCCCACCCCCAACTTCTTAAACCAGTCAGTTCCAGCTGGTCTGGAACAGCTTCTTACTCCCTTCCTCTCAACCCACAAAACTTAAGCTTTCAGGATTCTCCCAACTATGGACTCCCTGTCCTGTAGGTATAGGTTAGAAAAACATCCTGGAAATTCAAGCAGTAGCCTTAGCTGATGCCCTCAAGCTAGATCTGCTATATATTTATATTCATTCATTCAGACAGACAGACAGCCAAATCCAGTTCTGAGCACAGAGAGAATAAAGGGAAAGGTTCCATATCTGAATAAGACAGTGACAGCTTAAGCTTAAAACTTTCATAGTAAGTCAGTCTCTCTCATGACCTCTAGAGGCATGGAGAGGCCACCAAGGTGACCTCAAAAATCCCTTTCCAACAGTGAAGTACTGAGAATCTTAATTTTCTAGGATTCTGAAATTCTTTGATGAAGGAAATGAGCTCATCGCCCTGGGCGCCCAACCCACTCCTCTGACCCTTGGGACTCTGCACCCCATGCAGGCCCTATGGTGGTCTCCTAAATGCCACCACACATCCAACACTCACAGTAATGACTACATGCCCATTTTATTACATGCCCATGAGGAAACAGGGACTCAAATAGAAAAAGCAACTTGTCTGAAGTCACCCAAGTAGCAAGGTTGCTTGAATCCAAAATCGTAGCTCCTAAGTTTTAGATGAAATATAATGGTCAGACCATCTGCCTGAATCTAGCAAAGGAACTGGAGTTTAGGGGCTAAAACACTGAGACAAAGCTTCCATCAGGCGGGAGTTGAGTATAGCCAGGCCCTACTTCCCAAATGTTATTTGCTCTTGGAAAGCTCCTTGAGGGATGGGAAAGGGGCAGTTTGAATGGTATATGGTGCAGGAGCTGTGGGGGAGAGCTGCGGTTCCAGTGGTAACACTGCCAGTAGAGACCCCTGTAATCTGCCGCCTCCGCCATCTGGCCAACCACAGGCTAAACCCGGCAGGTGGGGTCTGCCCTGGCCAAGACTTCCCCACTAGACATTCAATCAGTCTTGGCTGCCAGCCCCTAGCCTGGGGTGGGGGGGAGGGCCCGGCCCAACCGAAGGGAGGACATTCCAAGCTGAGACGTTTGTCCAACACAAATTCCAGGAGAGTGGAAATGTCAAAGGCAACTCGATCCAGGCCATCTCCTGACCTGCTCCAGCGACGGGATGGCAAGGGGAGGATCGGATGACCGTCCTGCAGTCCTGTGCTGCACATCTACCCCCAGCACCTGCCCTACACTTAGCAACGTCCGAAGGGACAGACTGAGGTCAAGGGTCCGAGAGCGCCTGGCAGGCGCCGCTCCAGGAGCGCAGGTATCAGACCCCCCCCCCACCCCCTCGTCGGTACAGGCGAGAGTTCAGGCACTGTGCTCCCTCGGCAACCCCCCAAGGTCCTCCCGCTGGGCTCACTCACGGCAGTGACCCCAGAAATGGGGGTGCAGGGAGGCTCCCGCGGATCCCTCCACGCTAGCGGGAGCTGAGCTGCCACAGAGCGGCGCCTCGCGCCGCGGAGCTAGAATCAGCAGCGGCTCCTCAGGCCCCGCCTCCTGGTTGCCCGGCCACGCCCAGGTCCTTGGTCCGGTGCTGGACCGCGCAGTCCGGCCCCGCCCCCAGCGACTGGCCCCGCCCCTGAAGTGCCACGTGGCCTTGAGGCCACGCCCCTTACCCGCCTTCCTTTTCGTGCTTTGAGCCCAGCTCCCTGCAGCGCCCACGAATCCCAAGCCGGCGCCTCCGGCTCCGCCCCGGCTTGCAGACCCGCCCCACAGGGCCGTGGCTCGGCCGCGCCGGCGTGGCTCTGCCGGCCTCATGGGAAATGTAGTTTTGGAGGAAGAAGTAGCTGGAACTTGTTTAGTTATTGCATCCCCAGGCTACGTCTGGGATGTGGATAAGAAGAGAGTCGTAGGGTAAAGGGTCAGGGCTGGCCCTTGGGATTTCTTCCTCTTCATGTTTGGACAGGTGGAGGCCATCTCGGCATAACGCTCCAATTAGTCCTCCATACAGGAACACTTTTCCCCTTGTGCGTGAAGGGGAGTGGAATTCCTGGCTAGTGCACGATGGAGCCAATAGAGGACCCAAAAAAGGGAGCCTAGTTCCACGATTCCAAGGATCGTTTCCCAACAGACAAGGCCAGCGATGTCCGAAGTCAGGGAATGAGAAAACTGGCTTCTGCTTGGTATTTTGCATTGACCCCCACCCTTCAGACCCCCTCCTCTATATTGACAACTATTAGAATGTCCTGCCTGGAGAAGGTTGGCATGCCCCACCATACTCCTGCCCCTGGGAGTAATAGGGTGCAAGTGACCTGAAGATCCCAGATATTCCAAGAATATCCCACTCCTTTCCCCCGAGAGACAAGGATACAGGGCTTTGTTTTATAATTTGAAATTTCTTGATCTTGAAATCCCCCCCAAATTATACTTTGGACCCCTTGGACTTGGGTGGGGGGAGGCAGCAAGGGGGTTTGCATAGGCTTCCAGGTGGAAGGCTTTGATGGAGACTCTGGGAGCGAGATCAAGAGCTCAGGGTATAGGAACAGAGCTCCAATTGCAGAATGGAGGATTCTGGGTCCACTGAGATGTGGGGGTGATGTGGGGGGCACCTAGGATTGGAGGTTTCTGAAGAAATGTGAGCTGGAGGGCCTTTCTGAGGTGGGAGGTAAATGGGCCCTGAGGTGGCAGGGAGGACACCAACTGCATACAGGGCTACTGTCACGGAAGATACTCAAGGCCACCTAAAGGAAGCACTGAGGTGATGAGGGTGGGGAGGGCTCAGCGCAGGATGACTTTTGAGAAACTGAATCTCAGTTGAGGGGCTTGGCAGAGGTCTGAGTGGCTGATTCCTTGCTGCCAGATCCTGCTGGGTAAGGACACAGCGGGTAAGGCAGCCTTTGGGGTGAAGTTTATTTATTGCTCAGCCCCCTTGGCCCCGCCAGGCTCTAATAGCAGTGGTAGTCAGGATAGGTCTCAGACACAAACTCAGGGTGGACGACATAGTTGTTTCTCTGGGGGCCACCGGTCTTCTTGAAATGACTTGTGTCCCATCTGTGGGGAAAGATGGGTCAACCTTTTTGGACTCTTATACATCTGGTTCCACTTTTCAATGATAACCTTATCCCAACACTTTGCCCCCTAATACTGACCCTAGGCTTCCAACACTGACCTCAAGTTCTGCTCTTAAATTTCTCATTCCCAATATTAACTGCTTAACATTATCTTCTTAAACTTCACTTCAAGACCTGAACCTAATGCCCTGATACCATGAATTTAACCCCCAATGCCTACCTGCAACACCTCAATGCTGGTGTCCCAAGCCCCTCAAAGGGGCCACCATTTCTTTCCAGCTTTGACTTCCCCATGGCACTAGTGCCCCCTGGTGTCATCTTCCAGTCAGTGCACCATGGGGAACAGTGCACTGTTCCCAGCGTGTGTGGTCACTTCTGCACCAAGGGAACAGCCTCCCTTGTGCGTGTGCCCCAGACTTACCTAAGGTTCGGACACGGGTAGTATGACGGCGGGGGAGGTATAACAGCACACTGCATTCCGGGCCGGTACTCGCAGGGTGCTAGACACCTGGAAGAGTAAAACGATGGCCAGGGAGGGGATGGGCCTTAAGATTTCTCCTTACTATCCCCAACCCAGGCCAAGACTAGGGGTAGCGCTCAGGCGTCAGTCCTAAAACTCAGAGAACCTCTGCTCGTGCCTTTCAGCCCTTCCAAGCACTGCCTCTGGCAAGAGGCCAGAAAGTCCTCCTCCAGTCAAATCCTTGTTTCCCGTTCCCAGACAGGGCCATGGAGCAAACTGGAGGGTCAGACTTCAGTGGCCCAGGACTTGGGAGCCCCCAGCTCCTCAGCACGAGACAGCAATTACAACAGAATTATAGTTTCTGAGGCTCAGGCACTTTCACTTTCCCCCATACCCTTGTGAAGACTAAAACCCAGTCTCCTGCAGTGAGTCCTGCTCTCTTGGCCTGGGGGGGGGGCGGGGGCAGAAGGGGGGAGGGGCAGAGCAGGGGTGGGGGGTCAGCATGAATGGTGCATCCCCCAACATGAATGCACAGCTCTTCAGACTGCTGTGGGCGTTTGGGATCTCCCTGGCTGGCTCGGGAGAAGGCTGTGACCGTCCCCCGTCCCCTGGCTGTCTGCCTCTGCAAGCCGTCCGCGCCCCAAAGTGACACGGACCCTTCTGGTAATTCGGTGACCTTCCTTGCTCACTTAGCCCCTGACAGTGACCCTGCCCATGACGGACGGTGACCCGAGGCCAGGGAAGAGAGGCCATATTTCTGAGGGCTCCAGACCCCTAGGCTGGGATCTGCATCTGCAGGGCCGGGCGTCCAGGTGTCCAGGTGAGGGGAGTGGCCCGTGGCCTCGGGAAAGCGGTGCTACCGGTGTGGGGTGTCTTCCTCCACCTCTCCCCTCCCCCCGCGGCCGGGCCTTCAGGAGATCCCGAAGCAAGCCGGGGTGCTCTTGCTCCCAGCTGGGGAGGGACAGTGTGGGTAGCTCGAGGGGACCTTCGCGCAGGCCGCGGCTGTCACCCCGAGGCCCAGGGGCGGGACCGGGCGGGACCGCAAAGGGGCCTGACAGATCTGAGGCCTCCGGGCGGGGCCGAGCTAGAAAGGGGGGCGTGTGGCCTCTGGGGACGCAGCCCGCGAACCTTACAGACGGCTGTGCGCACAAGGCCCGCTGGCGCTCGGCGCAGGGAGCCCCGGAGACGCAGTAGTCCATCCCGCGCAGGCAGTAGTGGCGGCCCGAGCAAGGGCTCACATAGCCCCGGCAGGGCAGGCGCCCCTGCAGGGGGTCCAGGCACCCGCAGCGGGGCGGGATCTGCGGCAGCTGCTGCCGTCGTGTCAGCGAGTTGAGCACCTTCACCACCACGTCGCGCTCTGCGCCCGCACACCCCGAGTCCGCGAGAGCCAGAAGCCCAGGAAGGGGAAGAGGCAGGGGCAGAGGCAGAAAGAGATGAAGACAAAAACAGGGACAGGTGGAGACAGGGTGACCTTCTTTTAGGGCCCTTGGCCTCGTCCCCAGCCCCCAGGATGCCCACCCGCTGTCCTGCTGGTCTCCTCCTGCCCCCACCCCCAGCAGCAGCACCCTACCGTAGGCATTGAGTCGCTCCGGTTTAGGAGGACACTCCAAGGGCATCCCTCCAAGTGCCGTCTCCATTCCCGCCTCCTGGAAGTGGCACACAGGCTAAGTCAGCTCTGACCCCAAGAGTTTCTTGTTGGGGGGAGCCTCTTAGGACACCCAGACTAGTCCCGTGCAGTGCCGGCTCCCCACCCTCCAGAGGCTCTGCTTCTCTCCCTCTCTCAGGCTCTGGGGGTTTGGTGTTGGGCTCCTCCGCCTACCAGAGGAGGGTGGGCGGGAAGTGGGCCAGGTCTGTCCAGTCACCTGTCTCTTCACAGCCCCACAGGGTCTCAGCGTTTCCCTTTGACTTTACCCCTCCTCTGTCTAGCTGGCTCGTGCAGCTGTGTCTCCTGTCCCTCCAATAGGGCATTTTCAGTGTTGCATTGTTGCCTGCCCATTAGAAGTTACCTGGGGAACTTGTGAAAAATTCTTATTCTTGAGGAAATTCTGATGCAGCAGTTCAGTCAACCCGAGGTCAACTGTGAGCCTAGAGTTAAGACCCAGCTCTGGTCTCAGATCTTCTCACATTTCTTCTTCCCTCCTGCGCCAGTCTTTTCTACCTCGTTATACGAATTTCCTCTATCTGGACTGCCCCTGAGTGGTCTTGTTCTTCCCTGTTTTGTCCTTGCTTACATCACAAAGGAGGGGGTGATCAGCCCTATCACTCACCTATCACTCACTGATTCCGTGGCCAGACCATGTGGGAAGGGCCGGGTGGCAAACTTCGGGGAGGTAGTAGGTCAAGGAATACACATTAGCCATGTCTCCACAGGGCCTGGGCAGAGATTGGGGCCCAGGGGACCTAGGGACGCAGCACAGTTCCATTCCTGGGCTCCCTTATCTCCTTGCAAATACAACCCCTAGACTCACAGAGCTCTGGAGTTGGTGAGAAAGGGATAGTGAGTACCAGTCACCATGGTCCGGGAGGCAGAGGGAGGTATACTGTGGGCACAGTCGCTACCTTAGGCAGCCGGGGAAGGCATGTGATGTATTTGTTGTCCCAGCCGTTGCAGTAGTAAGGTTCTGTTCTCCATGCGTTATACTGGTCACTGCACAGGTAGTTTGGGTTGCACCTATCTGCTTGATCATATGGGTGGAGATGAAGACAGTGTTACTCCTTGCGCCACCCCAGGGTATGTGACCATCTAGATGTTTCTCCTTTGATGTCCAGCACAAAACCGGACTCCCACTGATGCCTTGCAGACCAGTCAGGCCCAGGCTGGCCCCACACTTATCTAGACACTTAGATACAGCCCATTACCCTCCTTCAATAAGCTTCTGAGTGGCAGGATATTTAGATCACTTTTTATCCTGGCACCACCACCTTGGACTCTGCCAACCTAGAAATGGGACATCTGCCCAAGGCCTCCTTCGCTCTTGTCTTCCATAGCTAGGCTCAAATGTGTGCTTATTCTGCCTCCTTAAAAACACTTGAATCTGTTCTCCTTCCCATTATCCCATGCTCTTACCACTATAGCTCTGAAATGTCGTATCCCAGAGATGACATAATATCATGGTTAACAAAATGGATGCTAATGTTGGGCCACAAGCGTAATCTTGACTGGGTAAAATAATTTCACTGTATCTCAGTTTGCTCAATTTTAAAATGATTGTAATAGTACTAGCTACCTCATAAGCATGTTGTGATATAAATGAGTTAAATGAGTTTAAATGAGTTAATATACGCCAAACACTTAGAACAATACCTGGCATCGTGTGTGTGTGTGTGTGTGTGTGTGTGTGTGTGTGTGTGTGTGTGTAAAATTTACCCTACTGATCTTCCTGCCTCGTCTTTGAAATCCCACAATCCAATCTCTACATAGAAATTGTGGTACTTTTTCACAAATGAAAATATGACCAAAAGTATTTCCCTGCTAAAACCCTCCAAAGCTTCACCTACACAGTTACCTAAGTTTGTCCTACTAGGCCCTCCATGACCCGCTCCCTCACCATCTGAAAGAATAGGTTAAGAGAGGTTAGAAAAGGAAACCTAGGGGCCTGGAGAAGAGCAGGGGTATGTTTGTGTGGAGTAGGGTATTGGGATTTGGAGTTACGAGTTGGTGGGTTGCACATATAAAATTTGAGGCATTTGGGAACATTCAGGTAAAGATGACAATCATCAGATAAAGGAGAGGGGAATTCTGCTAGGGCTCCCTCTAGAGGTCGAGGCTAGAATGAAAAGGTTTGGAGTTGTCAGTAATTAGAGCTATGGGTTAGATAAAATCGTCTCAGGAGAGGAGTCAGAATAGAAGGGGTCTCAGATCAGCACCCTGAGGAGCTCCGTGTTTCTAGAGCATGTGGACAAGAGACCCAGGAGACAGAGACATCACAGAAGTGGAGGAAGGAAGGAGTTTCAGGAGGTGGCGTGGTCAGAGAATGAAATGTAAAAGATGGACGAGTCCTGTGGATTTGGTGATTAGAGTCACACAGAATCATTTTAGTGTCTGAGTGTGAGTGTAGGAGAGGCAGGGCCCCAGTTTCAATTGAATGCAGGTTTATTTTATCACCGATCAATTCAACAAATACTTATGAATTCTGTCACTATCCTAGATGGAGGCGCACAGCTGTGAATCAGACAAGACTCTGCTTTTATGGCAGGTGCAGTGGGGCAGATTAGATACACCTACCAAATGAGAAGATAGTTTCTCCTAAAATGCAAGGAAGAGTGGGGAATGAGAGAGAGGATAGACTATGTTTCTGAGACTCTTGACTGTGAAGGAGAGGAGCAGGAGAGAGTTTTTAGACTAAAGAGTTGAGAGAAATGCGGTGTGGTGGGACAGAGGGATGCAGGAGAGGTAAAGGATCAGGATGAGGGGCGAGGTCAGGAACCAAGTTGGGGTCAGATGGAGGGTTGCTATTGGAAATTACTGAATGGGGTCAGAGCTGGGTGAGTGGTAAGGCCCTACCTGGTTGAGAGAGCCAGTATTTCTCAGGCAGGTATGGGTGGCCTGGCAGGGAACTCTTATAGCTGTAGTCCTGCACAGCACATTTGAGCATCTTCTGCAGGGCTTCGGGATCCACGTGGCGCTGCATGGTCTGAGAAAGTCCCTGGGCAAGGAAAGAGGGGGAAAATGGCCAGATGCATGGAGGCCCCAGCCTCGGGATCCTACTGGACCAGGCCCTGTTGAGAAAGAGGCTCTCCATATCGCCCCTCTCTATGCCAGAAGGACCGCTTGACCAGCCTTATTTCCCTCTGTCAAGTCTTTTTTGCTTGAATCACTCTCTTTTCCTTTCTTTCCATCCAAGGCTAGGGCTTAGAGCCAGGCATTGGCCTTTAGAGTGATTTTCTGTTGGCATTTCTGTTTCTTCCTTGACTGGGAGTTCTAAGTGCAGAGCTAAAAGCTATGTACAGAGTTGGGTGTTCCTGTTATCATTCTCCCAGGTTGTGTGCTGCCAGCAAGCAGGTCCTGGGTCCCTCAGCCGACCCCTGGTACAGTCTGGAGCCTCAGGAAAAGCTGGCTGCCCTGGGAGCAGCTACCTTATACAGGTGTTTTTGGACAGGCAGGGTTCTCTGGGAATCTGGCACCTTGAAGGAGATGAAGGATAGGGCTGGGAGGGGCACCTACTTCATAAAATCTAGTTCCCTGACTCCAACCTGCCCCTGATTCTGCTGTGGTTCTGATTCTGACGCCATTATTTTTTTTTTAAGATTTATTTATTTATACAAGCACTGGGTACAGTCAGAAGCGCGGGAGGGTGAGAGAATTCACCAGAGCCAGAGCAGGGAGCAGAGCAGGCAGAAGGACCGAGGTCCACTGCTGAGGGGAGCAGCGGGCGCCAGGAGGGGTCTGCGCGCCATGTGGGACCCTCCTCCGGTGGCCGGGGAGCAGCAGGGGATCGAACTGGCGCTGCAGAGGCTGCGGGCAGCTTCGCAACCCAGCGCTCAACCGCTACGCCACCGGGGAGGCCCTGACGCCATTATTACCCTTGGCCCTCAGGCTCACTTTGCCCTGGTCCTCACACTACACTAACCTGTTGTTGTTTTGTTTTTGTCTTGGTTTAAGTCCTGGGACCCTCTGCTTCTTGGATTTTACCTCACTTATCCCATCACCCTTTGTTGGGCTAGATCTGTGGAAACCCAAAGCAAGGCCTCCTTGGGGGCCCCCTTGTTCTCAGCTGAGCAGAATGCCAAGTTACTGTGGACCCACAGATGTCTGCAGACAGCTGATGTGAACAGGCAGCCAGGTCATAAAGGTGGGGCATCCAACAGTCAGTCACCAGAAAGAACTTCCTCATAGTGGGCAGTGAGGTGTTGGGATGGTGACACTGCACACCCAGCTTTCCTCTTTATGATCCAAAGAACAGAGACTTTTCTTGGTCAGGGTTGATATCTTGTTGCTCCTAGTGTCTCTGCAGCCCCGAAAATACCTCAGCTGAGGGAGTCCTTGGGTCTCCTATGCTCAGCTGAGTTTCTGTTCTGCCGATAGATTCTGCACAGTCATCCTCTCTGTGGGTGGAGGGGCCCCGTGACTTGGCACTTGGCTGAGCTTTATACACACACATATAGACAAACTCATAGATCTGTGCACCCAGATACACTCATAGACACACACACAGATGTACTTTTTAATCATACACTTACATAGAGATACAAAAGAGTCGTTTATAATGCACAGGCATTAACTTTTCCTCAGACATCTGAAATCTTCGTCTGCTCATGTTTATAAATGGGAGACTAAAAAAGCTTATTGGAGGATCTGAGTTGCAGGGGGACTTTGTGAACCATGAATATCACTGTCAGATGATCTGACTGGCCTACTTTTTTCAAACTCTGTCCGCATCTTTCCTCTTGAACTAACCACATCCTTTGGAAGACACTCCTTCGATCTTCAGCCTGCTGGTAGTGACCCAACAGCGAATGTTCTGAGAACTTGGTGGGGGAGAAAGCTGCTGGGGGGGGTTAGCGTTCAGTATAAGGAGCTTCACCTGTTTTCAATGTGGTGTCCTGTCTTCAACTAGGTTTGGTATCCCCAATCCTGAGATCCTTGCCAAAACACAAGCCTAACTTTTGCAGAGATGGGGTAGGCAGTCACTGTTTGGCCTGAGATAGAAGAGATTAGTGGGTTTAAATGCTTCTTAAAGAGCTTTCAAATCATTCTTATATTAGCTTTGGGCCTGTCCCATCTTCAGTTCCAGAGAAGTCTAGTATTACCAATCCTGAGCCTTCTAAATTTTCTGTGGTTTTAAGTTGAATGATGTCTTAGATTTTTCCACTGCTGGGTTTGAATGTTGCTTTCTCAGATTGCTGTCACTTACTATTTATCTATCATACTCTCTTGCTGTTAAAATCTTGTTGACATGGTCCCTTGTTATTCCTGTGACCTTTTGTCTTAAATATCCATTTACTGTAGTTTTAGAGGGGTTTCAGGAGTGAGTCAAACACACGTGTTCAATTTTAAGCCAGCGAAATATAGTTTTTTATATTTTTTTTATACTTCTCCTTTGTCAATTGTATGTTGCAAATATCTTCTTTCAGACTGTGACTTGTATTTTCATTTTCTTTATGGTGTCTTTGATGAACAGAACTTTTTAATTTTAACATAGCTGAATTGATCAGTCTCTCTTTTATGTAGTGTTTTTGTGACTGGTGCAGGAAATCCATCCATACCTTCAGATAATGGAGATGCTGTCCTATGTTTTCTTCTAAAAGCTATAGAAATTTACTTCCCATATTTAAGTCTTTAATCTGTCAGGAATTGCTTTTGGAGTTAGGGATCAACTTTGTTTTAATCCATATGGATAACCAATTATTCCACTGAGTAGTCTGTGTGTCTGCACAGATTTATAATGCCATCCTAGGCCTGATACATCTTTTTCCATAGCTTTAGTTTTAATCATCTCTGTTATGTATTTAATCATCTGTTATGTATTATCAAATAAATGTGATTCCATTTCTGATCTATTTTGTTCCATTAGTCTGTTTTTCTATTACTACAGTAATACAGGCTTTCTGAATTTCTATAGCTTTGTAATAATATTAATATTTGATAGGGAAAATCCCCTTATCCTTCAGATGTTTTAGCTATTTCTTGGAGTTCTATTCCCCTCTATAAATTTTTGAAATATATTTTTTAAGTATTCAAACTTTCACAGTACTTGTGGAGTACAATACATAGTCCATAGTACTTAGTTTTGCGTGCATTATTAGATTTATTTCTACTTCTATTTTTGTTGCTGGAATGATAGGTATATTTTAAATTATGCTTCTTAAATATTTGTTGTTGATGTAAAGAAATATGATTGGCTTTTTATATCATATTCATCTGATTTTCTATATTCTCTTATTTTAACAATTTGTAGATTCTATATATACAACTGTGCCATCATTTATCTTTTCTTTTCTCTGTGTCCTGGATAAGACCTCGTGTACAATGTTGAGTAGAAATAGTCATGTGCATTAAAAAAGATGCTCCTAGGGTCTCCCTGGTGGTGCAAGGGGTTAGGATGCAACCTATGTAGCTATCTGCAGCCACTGCAGCATGAGTTCGATCCCCGGCCAGGGAGCAACCCCCATGGCGCAGCAGACCTCTCCTGACTCACCTGCTGCTCCGCTCAGCGGTGTGTTTCGGTCAATCTGCCTGCTCCGTTCCCCGTTCTGTCTCTGGTGGATCCTCCCACTCCCCATGCCCCTGACCTTTGCCCCAGTTCCTGTATGCATAAATCTTTAAAAAAAAATGCTCCTAACATTTAATAATCAGAATGATGTTGGTTGTATTCTTTTGGTTTATATTCTTTATCAGGCTAAAGAAAGTTTCTGGTTTATGTTTGCTAAGTTTTTCTTTTTAAATTATGAATGGGTATTGAATTTTAGCAGTTCTATTTATTTTTGCCAATATCTTTGTTATGATATAATTTATGCCATAAAATAAACAAGGATTCTTAGTAAGTTTATCGTTATATACTTGTTACCAAAATTTAGTTTTAGACTATTGCCACCATCCCCCAAAGATCTTTCATACTCACTTTTTTCCTGCATGTTTTGAAATAATCTTGTGGTTTTCTCCTTGAATCTGTTAATGTGATGACATCTATAGATTTTTCTAGTATCTTTTTAGTATCTTTTCAACTTTGTGCTTGATTCATGGTTATGACCTTTCTTTTCATTTAGCTGTCACATTCCTTTCTTGATTCATCTCACCAGAGATTTGTCTGTTTTATGAATCTTACTGAAAAATCAACTTTTGACTGTTACTTATTGAATGTTTGCTTTCTAGTTTAATTGTCGTCATCTGTTTTTCTGTTTTCTTTCCATTTATGTTTCCCCCCAACTTCCTAATTCTCCCCAACTTCTTAAGTTTGATATTCAGCTAATATTTCATCTTTGTTTTTTTTTTAGCTAAGCACTCAGACCTATAGACTTTTCTCTATAACTTTTGTGTACCTCACTGGTTTTGATATGCAGCTTTTCAGTTCTGAGTACTTTTGCATTTGTTTTTTTTATTATACCTATTATTATTTTAATCAAATTTTACTGATTTGCCATTAATTTACATAACTATATAAATACGGGAATACAACTTCACTCCTCAAAATGTGCACATGCTTCACTCACCTGCCACCAAACCCACAATGCCAATACTCTATCACATTACTTCCCCATTCCCTCCCCCAGCCTCCTCCTCTGATAACACTGTATTTTAAGTTCTAAGAATTATTTTTGTTGTGTTTTACCAGTTTTTTGTTTATTTATTTATATTCCACAAATGCATGAAACCATCTAATAATTGTCTTTGACTTTGACTTATTTTCCTTAGCATAATCACCTCAAGATCCAGGGAGTGTCCCAAAAGGCACTATTTCATTTTCTTAAATAGCTGTGTAGTATTCCATAGAGCATCTATACCATGATTTCTTTATCCAGTCATCTGTTGTTGGGCATTTAAGTTGAGTCCATGTCTTGGCTATTGTGAATATTGCTATGAACATAAGGGCATGTAGTATTCTGCATTAGTGCTTCCATATTTGGGGGTTATAGACCTAGTGGTGGTATTGCTGGGTCATATGGTTATTTCCATCTTCAGTTCTTTAAGGAATCTCCATATCATTTTCCACATGAGCTATAGCAATTCACATTCCCACCAAAAGTGGATGAGTTTCTTTTTCTCCACATCCTTGCCAACACTTGTTGTTTCTAGTATTTTTGATATAGGCCATTCACACAGGGGTGAAGTGATAACTATTTACATTTCCCTTATACTAAGTGATTTTTTTTTCATGTGTCTATGGGTCTTCTGAACGTCTTCTTTGGAAAAGTGTCTATTTTTGACCTATTTAGTACTTATGAGGACTTTGCTTATCTTATTGTTATTGAGCTGTAATTTAATGACCTTAAGGTTGGAGACAGTGGTTTATATGATGTCCATCTTTGAATGTCCATCAATTTTTACAGTGTTCTTGAGTGCTTAAATTTGTAGTTGTTTGGTTCAGGGTTCTATTTATGTTCAACAAGTCAAATGTGCTAATTATGTTTTCAAATATTGTAGATCCTTACTCCTTTATTGTCTGCTTGACCTATCAGTAATCAAGGTATGTTAAAATCTAATATGGTGAATTTTGTGAATTTCTCCTTATGGGGTGTTACTAAGTCAATACAAGAATGGTAATATCTTCTTGGTGAATCAAAACTTTGTCATTTAAGTAGTGATCCATCTAAAAATGTGTATGTTTATTAAAGACTCTTATCTATTATTTACTTAGCTTTTTGTTACTGTATCTGTGTCAGATACAATACAGATTTGGATTAGATCATCAAAACCATTACAAGTGACATAGCATAAGGTATTTGTCTTAGGGATTAGATGTTCCACAATTATGGGAATTTGTTAAGAACTCCACAAGGCTGTATATTTTCATTTATCATTGTGTCTATAGTTGCTTTAGGTCAGCTGGCTGGAAGACAGGAAGGAGAGTCCTGCATAAAGTGGGGAAGAACAAGAACAAACTAGAACCCATGTGGACAAATAGAACCTGTATATGTTACATATTTTCCAGTGTGGTGATGTGGGTGTGAGTGGCTTTCAGAAACTGGTGTTGTCCTCCATGGAGTTGCATACACACCTGGCCCAGGGCCTTGAGAAGTTGAAGGAACTTCCACTGGGAGCTGAAGGAGCTGTGGCCAGGTGCTGTCCTATGAAGATATAGTGAACTAGTGAGCCAGCAACAATGTACATAAGCCACCTAGACACATGTGCCTGCTACCTTACAGCAGCCTGCAGAGTGTGAAAATGACTGCTCCTTCGTTTGTGCCTTTCAAATCTATATAAATTTCTCCTGTGGCTACTTAGGGAACCATTTAGAAAAGGGAATTTTGAGAAGTGTAGTCCCAGCAAGATGACAATATGAAACTACAATTGTATATCCTTTCCAGACTATAAGGATCTTGGAACATCTTAACTCTGTCCCCAACCAATTTACGTTTTTCAATATTTTAGTTCTTTAAATTTTATAAATTAAAAATCTGTTGACGTTTGCTTAAATTTATCTCATGTTTACCAATCTCTTAGCTCACCATTCCTTCTTTCAGACTTTCCTTCTATGATCATATTCCTTCCCCAAAGTATGTCCTTTAGAACGTCTTTTATTATAGTTCTGATGGCAATAAACGTATTAGTTGTTTGCCTATAAATGTCTTTATCTCTTCTGTTCTTGAAAAGAAGTTGCTTTGAAAACAATGTTTTAAGGTCATCTCTTCAGCCGGTGTGCAGTTTCACTGTGAGGTTTCTTCTGTTTACTTTCTACGTGTGAATTAATTTATTAGTTCTGGAAAACTCAGTCTTTTCAAACAAGGCCTGTCCCCTTTTCTGCTTTATCCTTCTAGGACTCCAGTAAGATGTTTGGGATATTCTCCTCTGTCTTTCATATTGTTTGATGTTTCATATTTTCTACCTTGTCTGTCTCTGCTGCATTCTGGGAAATTTTTCACTTTTTCATTTTAATAATTAAGCTGTGTCTGATCTACTCTTTTCCCATCCACTGAGCTTTTAGTTTTAACAAATGTATTTTTCACTGCTAAAATTTCTATTTAGATTTTTTTTTAACAAACTGGTCTTTTGGAAATACAATCTCTTCTTGCTTGTCCATTTTGGTTTCACATTTTATTTTAAAAATTCATAATTGTTTTGCATTTTTAAATCAGTAATTCCAGTATCTGAAATCTTTGGAGGTTTATATGTTGTTTCTGCTGATTCTGTCCTGTGGTGGTTTGTTTCCTTTTTGTGTTGAAAACATTTGACATTGTCCAACAATGCTGTTTTGTTGGTTTCTCTGCCTTCCTTCCTGTCACTCTGTCTTCTTTCATGGCTCTTCTTTTATCTCCCTGTTAAATACTGATATTCTCCACAGGCTTGTGCTTGGCCATTCTCTTACTCTTCCTTGGCAATCTCATTCACTCCTGTGACTTCTGCTACCATCTATGTCAATATCAAAATCTGTGTCTATAGCTCAAATCTTTTCCCTTTGCTTCAGTAACTCTACCCAACTATCCACCAGACATCTTTTACTGTAAGTCCGTGAACATTTTTGTCACCAAATGAACTCCAAATCTCTTTCTGCTCTGCAATTCTAAGTCTACCATTCCTTCAGTTGTCAGGAGTCATCCTAATCTCTCCCTTCTTTATATGCAGATCTTTATATACCAAGATCTACTTTCATCTTTCCAGCCTCAGCTCAATGTCACCTTGAGAGAGGCCTTTTATGACCTTTTCATCTAAGTAGCTCTCCCTGGTTACATTCCATTTTCATTAGAGCTTTTAGGTAATTCGTAAAACTCTTAGTACTTCTGGATCATTATTCATCTCTCCTCACTGCCTGCCCTGGGTGGAACAGGGAGGCACCATAAATTTCATGTGTAGGCAAATGAGTAAGCTACACAAAAAAGCTACAAATAATTACAAACATATAACTACACATATAATATACAAACAACACACTGCCAGTCATCCAGAGACACACAGTTATACTCTGGTCTGCCCCCCACACTACAGCCTCCACTTACCCGAGTCACAAACTTGTTGGCTTCCCAGGCCCACAGAGGTGGGTCCTTATAGACCTCCTTGATGGAGGTAGGAGCTCTGTAGGAATCAGCATAGGTGCTGATGGGAGTCTTGGTCTTACGGGAAAAGAGAAACATAGTGGGGTCTAGGGGATGCCGTGGCAGGCCCTACCTACTAAGGACTCTTATAAGACATGCGTGAGCACCCGTTCTCCCAGACAGTCTTTAGCCTGGAAGGTGTCCCTAGGTGCTGTGACCCCCTTCTGTGGACAATCTCTCAACTTCCCTCCCCCACAGCCTCCCTGCTCCCACCACACCCCGCTTCCTCCTCCAGGATGGGTACTGCCCATTGTGATATCACTTAGCCCGGAGTGGAGGTCCTACCCCCCGGTCTCTGCCTGCCTCAAGCCTCCAAAGAGCCCAATTTTCAAGAGTCCAGGGAGTCCCTGGAGATGTCTAGGCCAAGCGTTACACTTTGGTGAAGAGACGAAGATCCTGAGGTGTCAAGTGACTCACCTGCAGTCACGCAGCAGATCAGCGGCAGGCCTGGCCCAGGAACCCCCGAGTAGAGGTAGGGTGAAATGTGCTTTCAGAGCATCGATTCTCTCCCTTTCTCAGCCCACTGCCCACACCCAGGTAGGGAGCTGAGGCTGGCTTGTTTGATGCTTTTAATATCATTATTTGTGTTACACGATACATAACCAAGGATGATGGTCAATACTGCGATGGAAATGTTAAAAAAAATATTATACACGGCTCATGTCTTCCACACATCTTCCTGGAAATAAATTAGTGAGCACGGAGAAACCTGGCTGGGTGGCAGCCAGAGCTGAGGGTTGAGGGACTGTTAAGGCAGTATCTACAAGGGGGAAGGTTGGCAGGGGGGTAAGCTAAGGCCTCGATTCCTCTCCTCCAACCTCCCAGACAGGGAAGAAGGGACCACACACTCTCCTTAGACCCAGAAGGTGCTGGGTCTACCTCTCTCTGCCACCTGTCTACTGCCGCAGTCAGAAGCCCTGGCTTGCCAGGGCACTAGGTATGTCCTCTGGGGAGGGAGCTTTTCTCTGGTTCCCTAGGACCAGAGAGGTTGAGCAGTGGGTCAGAGTCACACAGCAAGTCAGCAGCAAAGGCAGCAGTCAAAATGAGCCCTAGTAGGGGCCCTGCCTGGAAAAGAGGAGACACCATGTTCCTAAAGGTGAGTCAAGGAGCCTGGGGTAGTGATGGTAGTGGGAGGCTTGGCTCTGGAGGCGGAAATGCTGACCAGAATGGGAGAAATGGTTTCAGAATGGGCCTTGTGGGCATTGCAAGTGCCTTGTCTGTCTCTGTCTCCCTTTGGCATTTCCTCAACATCTAACCAGGGCTCTTCCACTAGCAGAAGTGGGGGTGGGTTGAAGGCGCTGGGTTGGAGAGCCGCATCCCAACACTTTGGTATTGGCAGCCCCTGGACGTCATGCTCTTCTCACCACTCCCCTTCTAGCACCCACCTTCCAGCACTGGCATCCCAAGAGTATACTGTGGGGGTAGCCTTTACATGCCTGCAGCATGTGAATGGTATATGTGAGAGTGGATGGAAGAGCGGGTGTGGGCTGTCAGCATGGAGGAATGAGGCATGTATAGCCTGGCGCACGGATATGGAATCTGAGGGGCACAGGCCTGAGCAGGCTTAGGATATCTATGCTTTCTTTTCTCTTTATTTGGAGGCAGATCTACATCCCCCAGTGCCAGGGGAGGGCCTTGGTCACATCTTCCCTTTTTTCATCTTTCACTTTTCTGGCACCCCGCCCCTCACCCAGCAACAGCAGCAGAAGGATGCATAGTCTGACTCACAGACCCCGCAAACAGCTACATACACAATAGCTACCCCCGCCCCCGCCATAACACATGCACACACACATACCCACATCCCACTGGAACTTGCCCCTCTCCGCACACGGGCATACATCAGGAGGCCCCTAGTCGTCCTCAAAGGCACACAGAGATTTCCTTACACACCTCCATAGAAATGCCTATGAATAAATTCCTTCATGTTTGAAAGGATCTTAAAAACCATTTCAGCTGCTGCTCGTTTGACAGTTGAGGGAACTAAAGCCAGGAGAAGGCAAGTGGCTTGCTGGAGGCCCCAGGGAGACTTTCAGAGCTCCAACCAGAATCCAGCCTTCTGACTTCCAATCCTGGGCCCTTAGTCCATCACACAAATGTGCCGCCTCTCACAGTTAACAGACCACACAGTCATAATCCCGCCGTGGACACATGTCTATAACCGGAATAGACATCTGGAGAGACAGGCCCAATGCAGAGACACAGACACACTCCGTGACAGCCTGAGGCATGCACACCTGCCCGGCTCTCTACCACACAACATGCAGTCACTGCAGTTTCCTAAGCTTGCTTCTGGGAAGTGGCCTCCAGGATCTTGGGCCGGAGGGAGATGAGAATGGGGGCATTTGAGGTCAGCCTTACCTCCTGCTTCCAGCCTGGGACAGAGACCAATGAACAGAAGCAGGTGGGGAGGGGGTGGAGGCAGGAAGGGAGTTGCATTGGTTGGGGTGGTGAGGACAGACTGACTATACTACCCCGAATTATGGCCAGTCTCTGAGGCCAGCCTTTCCCTCCCCTGAAACCCAGAGGGACTAATGGAGCAAAACAAGGAAGAGGAAGGAGGCAGTGATCTGATGGAGGTGGGGATTCCAGCTGGGCAGCTTTGCCAGGCTTCCCGTCTGGAGCTGAAGGGGGAAAATGCAAATAGGTACATGGGCCGGCAGGGGGCGTGGGGAGGGGGCTCGAGGCGCTGGGCCCTGCCCCACTGCCCTGGGCCTTTCTCCCTCGGAGCCACTCTCCTACTCAGGCTGGGGCTGAGGGTTTCATGGCTTCAATGGGGCAGGGCCAAGCCCTGGCTTTCCGATCCCTCCCCATACTCGTTATGGTTGGCCTCCCTGCCATCCAGTCCTGGACTGGACTGCAGCTTTGGGGAAGGGGGGGGGGGCTGGGTGAGGTCCCCCAAGTAACTGAACAAACAACCCCCACCCTGCCTCAGCGCCCCCGGGGTGGAGAGAGACCCCGTTTTGGTTTCTCCGGCTCCATGAACACACAGAGGTACACGTCCTACCATAGGAGGAAGCAATGACTGTTACGAGGTTGGCGACTTTAGGGGGCACGGGGGCCGGGGGCAGGCGGATGAGCTGGGGAGGGGTCGGCCCCTGCCCGGTCCAACCTGGCCCGTGGTGGCCCTGCCCCGGGCGGCCGCTGCGGCCCCGCCTGCTACTGAATGTGGCAGGCGGTGGAGGACGTGGCCTGGCAGCACATGCAGGTGGGGTTCACGGACTTTGGGGGGATGAGGTCCAGGTCCTCGTCGTCAGGGATCTCATCTAACCGGTAGCCGTCCTTCAGCAGCTGGATGTTCAAATCTTGGTTGATCTGCTGTAGACAAAGGGGAGGGAGGTCAGGCTCAGGGCCACCAGCTCCCAGTTCCAGGCCATCCCAGGCTCTCCGTGGCCCCAGACGTCCATCCTACTAGGTTCAGGCCTCAGGTCTGGCCTTATTTCCACACAGGGAGATCCTTGTCAGGGCCCTCCCCACTGCAGGTCCCACCCCTTCTAAGCTCCTGCTTTCATCCTGGTTCCTATTTCTGGCCCCCATTAGGCGTAGCCTGTATTTCAGGGCCCATTCTATTTATTCCCTCTCTGAAGGTCACCTCATTTTCCAAACTTGATCCTATTCCAGACCTTGCCTGCACAGGGGCTCCCCCCCTAGCTTTGCCCTTTGCCTCCCGCAGGTGTGATTTGGCCTTGGTCCTACTCTTCTCCTACACGGAGCTGGTCCTGCTCAGGTGCATCTACGGTGGGAAGGGGTAGGGCCTCACCTCAGCAGAGGAGTAGCCAGAGGAGGAATATCTGGACATGTCAAAGTCATCATCGCTGGCGGTGGAAGAAAGAAGATGGAGAGGAAGTGACTCCCGGAAATTAAATAGAAAACTCCTTGCACCCACCTCCCCTCAACTCAGTCAATACCCTACCCCTTCCCCATGGTTCCAAATAAAAGTACAAAGTCTCTAAATAAAAACTGCTCACTGTGCTAATGCTGTTTTAAGACAGGTTCCCTAGCCCTACCCTTCTGAACAAGTAGCCACTCCCCTCCCCTTTTATCCTAGGCTCAGATCACCCTGGTTTGTTGGATTTTCTCAAAGTCCAGGTCTAGGTAGGTATATTCCCAGCAGTATAGGGCTTCACCCTTAGTGGGTGGGGGAAGTTAGCCTTAGGCTGAGACAGTATTAGACAGCCCCATACTAGGGGCAGTCATCAGATCAGCTGTCCCAGGAGAGCAGCAGACAGCACCCTTTTCCTCTCTGTTCTCCCCACTTCCATCCCCTAGGGGATTCACCCCTGGTCAGCTCCTGGCTGTCTGAAAAACACCCCAATTCTGATAATACAGCAGCTATGGCCTGCACAGCCCCCTTGTGTGTTCACATCGGTTCCTTTTGCCTGCCTGGCTGCCCCCACATCCCCGTACACACCTGTCCGTGTCAAGGGCTACCAGTGGCTTCTCGTCTGGGCTCTGGTCAAGCGAGGAGTAGCCTTTATTAGGGACGACCAGCCTGGTGGAGAATTTTGGGGATTGGATTGGCAACTGGAGAACACAAACCTGATGAGGAACTGGGTTGGGCTCTATACCACCACTCCCCACCCCCACCAAGGGTCCTGTTGAAACTCTCTCCTCTGAGAGAGGAGTTGGGCCTGAGGAGGGAGGGAGGTGGAGGAGGCTCAGGACTAGCAGAGATAGGTGCTGGTTGGCAGGGTCCAGGTGGGGTAGGGCAGAGGGTCTTTCTTCTACCTTGTCCGGGCCATGACATTGTTCTTCTTGGGTTGCTGGTTGACAGGGCTACCCATGCTGCCATTCTTCAGGGAGCCCTTCCGGGCCAGCTCCCGCTGCTTCTCTGCAGGGGAACATGGGAAGGAAGCTGTGTCCTGCCCCTGGGACCACCCTACCTTATTGATCCAGGTAGCCTGGCTGGGTTTCCATCGTGAAAATCTCACTTCTCTAGAAACTGAGGAATGAATCCCCACCCCAGGCCCTGCTGTTTGGTGGAGGTAGTACTTGGCCCTGCACAACCTGAGGCAGATAGTGAGGGGAGAAGGGAGGAGGCTAGGCTGAAGCTTAGCTTCCAGGAACTACATTCCTATGTGGGGTCAATTAGTATGTGCTTGATGCCAGAGAAAGGCTAGGGCAAGAGAGATGGAATAGAAGGACAGAGTAGTCAGAAGGGCTCCCTGGATATAACACTGGAGAGAGGAGGGCATTCTAGAAAGGAGGGATAGTGTAAACAAAATGCATTCAGAGTGGATCTGGATGGGATGGAGGGGTAAATTAAAGGTGGAGGAAGATCAGGTTGGAAGAGTAGGACCCCAAAATTTTATTTATTCCATAAACATCTGTCACCAATCATGTCTCAGGTCTTGTGCTAGGGGGTTGGGGGCTTCCTTTGATTACAAACTCAGAGCATGAAGGCTCTGAATGCCAGAATTAATGCCGAAGGAAAAGGTGCCACTGACAGAATGGGGCTGGTAGGGTAGAGGGCAGGAGGCTGGGGGATACTCTGGCTATTGCCTCCTCTCTCAGTCTCTGAATCCTCTGAGGCTCCAGTGTCTACTGGGATCAAGAGGCTGGCCAGCAGATGGCCCGCTGCCTGGTGTGTGGTACTGTTACCAGTAGCCATAGCTGCCTGGGTCTAGAAGGAGGCTTTCCTACTCATCTTAAGCACAGCCCACGTATAGGAAAATGGACCACTGAGAGGAGAGGAATTCTAGGGTAAGGTGCTCATAAAATAACCACAAGCTTCAGAAAGGAAGGATGGGCAGGGCATTTCTTAGTTACCATGACTGGACTGTCCCCTGACCTTCATGACTCTGAGTCTCTAATATCCCAATATCTGACCTCATTTTTTTTAATGAAAGTAACAATGCATTTTAAAATTATACAAGTTTAAGGTGTGTATCATTGAGTCTTACCCTATTTCTTTGCCACTGTTCATTTGACTCTTCAAACTTTTTCTAGCCTCTTTCCCACAAGAGGCAGGTGTCATTACCACTCCAAGCCTCTAGGGGGTGCGACTTGCCTTAAAGTTCTTGGTGCAACTGAGACAAGGTTGTGAATTTTCAAGATCTTGGGTGATAATGCAATAGGGAGGAAAAACTGTTATTTTTAAAAGCATGCTGGAATTGTTTGAAATAGTGAAAAAATGCAAACAATAAACTGGCAAAACAAATTATGGACTACTATGCAACCATTTAAAAAGAATGAAGTCATTCTGTATGTACTGATATCGGAAGGACCGCCACGATATTAAATGGAAAATAACAAACAAGTTCCTTAAAATGTACAGTGTGATATCACTTAATGTCAACATACAGTATGAAGCTAGAGAAAACGGAAACAAAATATGGGAATAATTACATCTAGGGAGGAGAATGTGATAGGGGAAAGTAAAGAATTCACACGTGTCAAAATATGTGTATTATTAAAGAGTAATAAATAAAACTGACTGCAATTTAAGTCTGATGTCCTAGGAAGGTGAACAAATTCCATGGAGAGAACTGCCCTGTGGTTTAGGAAAGCAGCATGAGGGGCTCCTGGGGTATCTTTGAAAGGAGAGAAGCAAGTGGGGTGGGGGAAGCTTCCTGCATGCACTGTGTTGTAATTTCTTTTCATGAAACCAAAGTTTAACACAGCAGGCTTGGGTGAGCGAAGCTTTGGTCCCCGAGGGGAGAGGGGTGATGCTTGGTGTAGGGTGAAGTGAAAAGAGCAGATGCAGGACTATGAGTGATTTTTGGGATCCAAGACTTCAGAGGAGAAAGCTGCAGCATAAACTGTGTTCGGAGTGGATGTGAGCTAAACCCCTAAGGGAAAGGTGACCCCAGAAAGGAGTGGGAGAGGGGCCTCCCTGGTGGCTCAAGGGGTTAAGCACCGCACTATGAAGCAATCTGCAGCCTCTGCAGCATGAGTTCGATCCTCCTGGCCAGGGAGCTACCCACATGGTGCACAGACCTCTCTGTCTCACCCGCTGCTCCCCTCAGCAGTGTACTTCGGTCAATCTGCCTGTTCTGTTCCCCGCTCTGTCTCTGGTGAATTTTTTCACCCTCCCCGCATCTCTGGCCTGTACCCCAGCTCTTGAATGTATAAATAAATAAATCTTTAAAAAAAAAAAAAAAAGAAAGGAGGGGGAGATATTTGGGTTTACTAAGAAACTAACGGGACGCGCCCCCAAACAGGAGTCAACCAGGCCCTGAGATCTGAGATGGACGAAGGAAAGAAAGGGAAGAAGGGGCCAGCTTCTGGGCTCTGTGAACCTCATCCCTTTCCACCTCTCTGACATAGCAGCTGACATCCACTGGTCCAGTGTTTGATGGGACTTCCCACCTTCTTGCTGGGGGTTCATGTGTTTATCCCTGCAGCTATCCCCTGGAATGCCTGGAGCCTTCTTGACCTCAGAGAAGCCTCCTAGAGTTCTGGGTTCCTATAGAGAATTTTAACTTCCTTCTTGGTCTTGCAGGAGATAAGGTGCCTGGCGGTGCCAAAAACTTGGTGGCCTGAGTCTTGGTATCCTCTGACCTGAGTTGGTTTATTTGTGGCATCTCTTGGCAGACCCAGCCCGGGGTACCTTGTCTACTCCCCATATCTCCCTCACCCCCCAGACACACTCACCCAGCTTCACTTGGAGCGGGGATGGTTTGTAATTCATGGCTACTGACTCACCCTCCCGGGCGTCACAGTCTCCGTCTGAGATGGAGGCGGCGGCTGGATCCTGGGGGGATTAAAAGCAGAGAAATAGGAGTTGTTAGAAAGCAAACACAGGGGGCTGCTTTCAGGCCTGAATCTGGCTTTCTGAGTTTCTGGGGGCAGCAGGTAAGGAATTCAGGGAGGAAGGGGCAGATACTTCTACCATGGAAGGAAGACCCTGAGTTGAGTAAAAAAGTCAAGCATCTTGGCCCCACTTTCATCCACCAGAGAGTCTGGTTTCAAAGTTAGCTTCCTCCAGAAAGTCCACCATGATTCCTCAAATCCACAGGCTCTCCTCCAAGCTTCCAAATTGCCCTGATTCCCAGGGCCCTTCTTGTGTACTTGCTTGGAAAGGTCTTTCTAGGTTCCTGTGAGTGTAAGTCTGAATTAAGGTTGGCGTAGATGCTCCATGAGAGGCCTTCTCCTGGTGTTTGCTCTAGCACTGGACAGATCCCTTCACAGGACTCAGAGTATACTGACTGGCCATGTCAGGCTAGACTTGAAGGCTGTAGCCACTGAATCAAAATAAAATTTTTAATGAGGACTTCTCTGTTCCTCCCAGCAAGATGAGTCTGAGAGTGTCTACTGGGAGAATGTGAAAGGCTGGCTGGGTATGGTAGGTGAGAAAACAAATTCTGACAAATCAGCTGGTCATCAGTTAGTCCTGTGCAGCCCAGAGTGCAAAACAGGGGGCCCAATCCTCCAGATGAAAAGGGAGGTATGCATTCTGTATATTGTCCAGGGTCCACCCTCCTCTCTGATCTCCTCTCTTTGGGTTGGACACTGTGCTGACCAGAGTTTGAATCTAGCCTCTCTATTTCCTCCAAACACCTGACCTCTGCTACAGAAAACAGGGCCCTGGCCTGCTCTGCCTCTGTCATTTGGACAGGGTTGGAGACACTCATATTTCCCCTGAGGAGCAACCATTGATGTGGGTGCTGCCAACCCAGGTGTCTGCCTAGGACACAGAGTCCTAAGTGTGAGGTTTAAGGATTTCAGAGAGGATCAGTGCCTGTTCTGCCTCTGGGGACGCAGACAGATAGGCAAATGAAACATTTCAAGACTAGCCCCACCATGTCAAGCCCAGGGACCTCAGTGGCTGCTGGTGACCCAGCAAGGCAAGGATATATAACCTTACAGTGCCTTCTATTCCCTTTAGAATGAAGAAGTTGAGGATGAAAACATGCTTGTGACCCAGAGGAAAGTGAAAAGTCTGGAATGTTTGGGAGGGAAATCTTGGCCCTGTCTGTATTCCTTCAGGTCATGGAGAGTGCATCTCAGTCTGGGTGTATTGCCACAGTGGTCTCTGTGCTCCTGAGGACAGACTCAAGCCTCCTGTTTGCTCTGATCCCTGCCCCCTTAAAGATGGTTGAGGAGGAGGGAGCAGGAGGCTCGGCTCAGAAACGGTCAGTGCTACAGTACCTGCATCCCATGTCCGTTCTCCCACCTTGGAGAAGCAGACCTCTCATGGTCCTTCCATGTCTCTCTGTGGCCAAGCAGCCTCACAGAGTCACCTGAAGGGGAGATGGAGAACCACAGCTGGACTCCAACTTTCCCTTTTGGCCACAAGAAGGACTCACTCCCAAAGCAGCCTGAGGGAGGGCTTCCCAAAGGCTAAGCCCCGTGAACAAGTGTGTGGGACCCTAGTAGGAAAGCACCGACACATTTCCAACTTCCTCAGTCACGTTCCTTTACTTTTTCTGTAACATTTGTCACATGTCACATACACTAATCCACTAAGAGGTTTCCTCCCCTGGCTTTCTAGACACTCTGCTCCCTGGCTCATCTTGCCTCTTTGACACCTTTTCTGTCTTTTCCCACAGCCTTTTTCTCTTCTCCTGCCCTCAGCCCTCCTCTCCTCAGGGAATCCTAATGTCTCCAACAGTTTGGATTAACATTTTCACTCTAGTGACTTCTAAATCTACGGCTTTGCAATACCATATCACGTAACCTCCCACCTCGCCCATCCCAAGAGACTGAGGGATCACTATCCTTTCCCTGGAGCTGCCTTTAAAGACAGGAGCCTTCAGGCATTGGGGACTAATTTTTCTCTCCTCAGTGCAGATGAGTTAATCGGCACTCCCTCCCAGGGTGGAGCTACAGGGCAGCTGTGGTAACACTGGAGGGAGACTGCAGGAAGGACAGGGAAGCTGTTGAGCAACTCGGGTCACCGAGACCCACATGTGGTCCCCGAGGCTACTGCGTAGAGCCTGGTGACATTTGGTCCCCGAGGCTACTGCGTAGATCCTGGTGACATTTGATCCCTGAGTGAAATTGCCAAGCCCTTTGGATCACAAGCCAGGGCTCCCTAGGCTGGGAGGTCCCACGCAAAGCCCACCATTCAACTTCTCCTTTGTCACTTAAATTCTGTCTTAGAGGCAAGAGCAAAGATCTCTGGCACTATGCCTGAAAACTCAAGCCCTTACTGTGGCCTTCCTGTATGTCTTCCCTGAGAAACGCAGCTAATGCACCATGACCATCACATGGAAATATAATCAGGGAGATTAAATGTGAAATCATCACGAATATAAGTATCAGAGAGGAATCCAGGCAGAAGGAAGCATCTGGCTCCAAGAAATCAGGGAGAATAAAAATTGCCCCCACGGACATCTGACAGGAGTTAGCTAGATCCGGGAACTAGAGTGGGGATTAGCAAGATTATTAATAAACACTCAGCAGAGACAAACATTGAAATGCATCTCTAAGACCAACTCATGTTTCTGCAAACCTTCAAACAAACTCTCCAAAGACTGCAGAGATGATTAACAGCCCAGTCTCACTGTATCTGAGACAGGCTGTCTAGGCTAATGGTTAGCACGCAGCCAGTCTTACTAGAGGAAGACAAACGGGAAGCGCGCCAGAGGAATCCCGAGAGTTAGCTTGGCTCAGTGATTTTCATTAAACTGTGTTACTGAACTCTGTATTCTTTTGGGGGGTGGGGGATGGTGAGTGTGAGAGAGGAGCAATAAGAGGAGTCAGGCTTCCTTCCACCAGAGGAGATCTACTTTCATTTCATTTGCTCATCAGTCTTTCTGGGAGATTTTGGTTGCAGAAAGGGTTTTGTTGCTTAAAAAAGAAAAGATTAAAATCCATTGATATAGAATATTACTCAGCAATCAAAAAAGATAAACTCATGCAGTTTGCAGCAACATGGATGGAGCTAGAAGGGATCATGCTCAGCGAAATAAGCCAGAAAGAAAAAGAAAAATACTGGATGGTCTCACTCATAGCAGGAATTTAGAAAACTAAATAAGGGACCAGGAAAAAGACTAATTTTAATAAAGTAAAAATCAAAATCAACAAGCAACTATAAACCAGAGACACATGGGGTAGGGGAGAGGAAGGAATAGGATCAAAATAAGGTGGGAGGGCCTCCCCGGTGGCGCAGCGGTTGAGCGCTGGGTTGCGAAGCTGCCCGCGGCCTCTGCAGCGCTGGTTCGATCCCCAGCTGCTCCCCGGCCACCGGAGGAGGGTCCCACATGGCGCGCAGACCTCTCCTGCCGCCCGCTGCTCCCCTCAGCAGTGTACTTCGGTCCTTCTGCCTGCTCTGCTCCCCGCTCTGGCTCTGGTGAATTCTCTCACCCTCCCGCACTTCTGACTGTACCCAGTGCATGTATAAACAAAACAAACAAACAAACAAACAAATAAATAAATAAAAAACCATGCCTCTATAAAAAAATAAAATTAAAAAAAAAATACAAAATAAGGTGGGGTACAATTGTATGGGGAATATAACCAAGATGAAAATGCATACATTGCAAAAATGAAAAATGATGTAAGAATTATATAAAATAAAATATTTTTTAAAATCCACTGATATAATCTGGTCTTAAAAAATGTTTTATTATGGAATTTATTAAACTTACATAGAGACAATAGTATAGTGAGATCTTAGTTACCTATAACCAGCTTCAACAAATATCAATCCACTTTTTTTTTTTATAAATTCTGGTTCCTCAATGTACTAGATGTGTGGCCTGGGCTTCAGTTTCCCATCTGTAAAATGGGGCTAGTACATTACCTATGTCAAAGGTTCTTGTGAGGATAAAATGAGCTAATATATGAAAGTAATTAGGATAGTACTCAGTATAGTACATACTGAGCACTGTATCTGTGTCCCTAAAAAGTTGTTATTAGTATAGGTTTGGTGAGGCCCACACAATCATGCACAGGTTGCCTTGGGAGTGATGGGCTCACAGCTGCAGTCCTGGTACCACATAGGCTGGAGCCTGGCTTACATGTGGCGATATCTGTGGAAAAACTGCTCCCTCAAGGGAGTCCCTGATTAAGGGGCATTCTGCCACCCCTCTCTCATCACTCCACTATGCTACATTTCCCTCACTTATTTAATAAAGATAGGCCTGGCGCTCATACAGATAAATAGAAAATAGGCCAATACTTAAAGAGTTCCCTGGAATGAGCAACAAAAATAACAAGAAAAAAGTAGAAAAGGGATGAGAGGAGAGGGTCAAAGGAAGGAGGAAAGACATTCATGTAATAAGTATGAAGGCTTAGAGGCATGAAACTATGGCAGTATATTCAAGAAATAGTATTTTGTCATCGTTGAAATCTAGAAGGTAGGCTGAAAAAGTGGCAGGAAATAAACTTGTAGGGTAAGGGAGGCGCAGATCATGGTGAAGATGGGCCTTGATTTTGTTCTTTCATTAGAAGATGATGAGGAGACAATGAAGTCTTAAATATCATTGGGGAACTAACATGACCAGATCTGAAGTGGAGAAGGACCCTCTGATTGTCATGTAGAAAATGAATGGAAGTGACAATAACTGGAATTAAGGATAATTAGGGAATGACTGCAACAGTGTCAGCAAGAGAACAGGGAGGGCCTCCCTGGTGGCGCAAGGGGTTAAGCACAGCACTATGAACCATGAGTTCAATCCCTGGCCAACCAGGGAGCTTCTCCCCTTAGCAGTGTATTTCAGACAATCTGCCTGTTCTGTTCCCTATTCTGGTGAACCCTCACACCCCCCACACCTCTGGCCTGTACCCCAGTTCTTGTATGCATAA